ATCCTCCATTTACTTCCATTGTAGGTGCCTCAATGTACCCTTGACTTTTGCTGATTTTAAAAGAAAATGAGTTATTTTTGGCTAATTAACATTATGCCACAGACGTTAATCAAACTTAACTTGAATCTGGAATATTCCTTTAAACAATCACAATTTTGTGATTCTTTTGACAGAATTTTTTGACCCCCGCCACAGAAAAACCCATACGCACACCCCAACACAAAAATGGCCCAGAGCAACCATTAGGACATGAAAAGGTCATAGGTCTACACACACATTGTAGATATACCACAGCAGGGGTCACAGACACACAAACACACATCTCACTGTCTGTTAAAATCTCATTAGAAAGACGTGTTGATACCTATTGTCGCTTCGCAAAACCTCAGCAAATAGATTCATTAGGAGTGAATCAGTCTTGAGGTTTAATGACACAGATAATCAATATAGTCACTGTGACCTTTCTCACCGCAGCACATGTATTCTGTTTTATTCAGTCTTTTTTTTTTTAGAGGTTTAGACAATCAAGTTAACTTTTAAAAAAAATCATGCAACTAATTAAAAGATACATCAATTAAAAAAATGTACTCACACCCTATTAGTATTAGTATGGAAGAAAATATTTTAAGACATTAAAAAAGAAAAAAGAAAAAGAATAGAGTATGAATTTTGTGAAAGAAAAGAATGAATTAATTTATTTATATATTTGAAAGAATGAAAGAAGTCAGGTTTAAACATCACAGTGCACAGTGCAACAAAAAAAAAGGTAACCTAAAAATGTGCTTCATGATTCTAACCCCTTAAGACTTCACCTATGGATCCAACAGGATGTCATATGATTCATTTATATCTAGCCAAAAACTGTGATAGGCTATAGTTGGCAGTACTATTAACACAGGTGAAAAAATATATTGTATTATCTGAGAATAAAATGACCTACTTGATTAAGTATTTTAATGTATTTCAAATACAAAATACTGTCTCTCAAAGTATTTAATTACAAAATGAAAAATTTTGTCCAGCAAAATACAAATGACAAAATACTGGAAAGTAATTAAATTCGTATTTTAAATACATTTAATTGAAATACTGCCCATGGTTAGTGTGTCCATAGGGAACAGTGTGGCAATTCCCTTTTGCTATTTGAGCATGTTGTCTCTCTGTCTTTGTTGCCATGATGAATGGCATTTTTCTGCATGCCAGCATGCAAGACATCCCAAAACTACTGCCAAACACAAATGTGCATGGTGCACACACACACACACACACACACACACATACATACATACAAATGTGCAACCATTAAAATCTCACCTGTGTGTCTGTATATGCAGGCATGTTTGCCCAGACACATGTAGTAGTCGCACACAGACAGACACTTCAGGCAGATGACACTGACTTATTAAGCTGCTGTGTGAGAGAGGCAGGGGGAGGGGAACAGACTGGTGGCTTCCCCCAGCATCAGCCCCTCCTCTTGCTCTATCTCTCCCTTGCTCACTCGCTGTATTATGATGAATTATCTTTGTGTTCCCTCTTCACTCGCTGAATGTCTGTCCTTCTCTCCTTTGCTGAGCTACAGAACTGGCAAATGCTCTTTTTAGTGGGAGGAGGAGCAAAGGAGATATTTAAATCCCTGAAATCTCTCTCACACATACGCACACTGGCACTGGTGCTGACAGCTACAAAACAATCCTACAATTGAGAGCTGCCTTTGTTCTGTCAGGCTGGACTCTCTTGTCTCCTATTCAGAGAGGTTGCTCTTTTCACAGCTGTTTTTTTTTTCTCTCAGGTTATTCCTTCTGAACTGTGTCCAGCACTCTGATGCGTATGTATATATATAACCATTTAGCTTATTGTCCTTTTCCACTTTTTTTGTTTCTCAATTATTTTTCTCTCTCTCAATAAGGTGTGTTCAATGCATGCAGACATTAGTATTGCACACCAGGGAGCTTACAAACGGAAATTAGCCATTTCATACATGTGCTGAGTGACAGCTGTGTCTCCCAGAGCAGTTTTCTCCTCTTCCTATTTCTCTTTCTCTCCTGCTTACTCACTCACTCTCTCTCACACACATGCGCAACTCCCCTGGGAGAATAAATCTGCAATCAACCAGGCCTAAAAATAGCTGGTGATAAGAACCACCAACCTCTCTCTCCTTCATCAAAGATTCTTTCTGTTTCATTTAACAATCTATCTGTAACGAATTAGTCCACTGAAGGCGAGCGTAGTAAAGAACCCAAGTGCAGTTTATTCAAAACAACAGACTAGACTCACCGACAGCGGGTTACAACATCAATACACGACCTTTTCCGGACACCCCTACAAACTCTGTACAGTCCTTGTGCGGCTCAACAGCGAGCTCCTCGTTAAACTTTGCAAGTTCTGCTGGAAGTTCAAGTTCAACAAAGTCCCCAGGCCACACAGTATGTGATGAGGTAGCACGAAGCACATGAGTTCGCCGAATAGCATGTCTGTCTCCATACGTCCGATTGGCGCCATACTCGTATGTGTCTGATGCCACACAGACCTGATGTCTAGCGGGGCGGATAGAAATGTCATTACATTCCATAATAGGTGCTCTGTGTGTATTCGCCATGGCTAATATCTCGAGTGTCATAAGCGGAGATAATCCACAACGCTGCTCGCTTTCGCGCGATTGTAGCGTGAATACATCTCACGTGAGCTCACCAGAACGTTTGGGGAGTGAATACGATAACGCTGCCACCACGCCAATGTGTAGGTGAGGTATATTGAATCGCTGACACGAGAGAATAATTTAGTCAAGCCTTTAATGGCAACGGCCAACACAACAATAACAAGAAGCCCCAAGCGCGAGCTCCGCCCAGGCCAACGTGGCCACGAACAACGTCAGGAGTCACGTCACGATCCACGACACACTTCACATACTGGCGATGACTAAGACTACCAATCAGAACATTACACATACACAAGGCAGAGATACACGAGGGCAAGGGAAGCATGACACTAACAGGGTGAAGCTATTACAAAATAAAAGACATGGAAAACATGAACATGAAACAAAACCCAAACACCAAACCCCACATTACACTATCAACATTATAGCGGTATTATCATATTGCCCAAAAACAATCTGTATGGCACATTCAGAAACTTCAACATCATTCATAACATTCATACAATGACCATGTAGGAAATATGATCACAATCAGATTTCACTGCATTATAGTTTAAAATCTTTATGTCTGTGGAGTAGCATATATGTGTGCCAGCAGTGTTCATCAAGCCTCCATTAATTTAAATATGGAAATAGAATTATCTGCTTAAACATTGTTCATGCAATTGGTACAAATACTTCAATATGATTCAGCATAAATAAATGTTCGGATGATCAATAATTGTATCAATAAATGCCTTTCAAAGAGACTGCAATGTGTTTATTGGCTTGCTGGAATCCATGTGTTGTATAATGATGTGGGTGTGAAGGAAACTTGGCTCTAAACAGCCGAGCATTTTTTCCTGCTGTGCTACAAAGGCAATCAGCTTATAGACCTCAGTCTTCTGTAGCTTTAAGTCAGTGTCAGTCTGCTGATTTCTAAACCACACAGACTTTGTCACAAATGAGCAACTACATCATTTGAATTCTGTATCATTATTTTTATCCAGCTTTCCCAGATTATGTTACATGCAATTGTTATGTTAAAGAGCTATTTCTACCTAATCTTACCCTGAAATTTAGTTTTGTTGGTGTAATCTGATTTATTTAGGGTGATTCAATAATGTTAAAAAATATATTTTTTTATTAGTTAACCCAAAAAATTAAAATTCTGTTGTTAATTACTCACCCTCATGTCGTTCCACTCCTGTAAGACCTTTGTCCATCTTTGGAACATGAAGATATTTTTGATGAAATCAGAGAGTTTTCTGTCCCTCTACAGTTAGCCATGCAACTTACACATTCAAGGTCCAGAAAGACATCATTAAGTAATCCATGTCATTAAGTACATCATTAAATTATCCAATTTTATAAAGCCAAGTGAGTGCTTTGTTTGCACAAAAAAAAAAAACATAATTTACCACTTTATTTATGAAAATATTATCCAAACACATGCGTCATGTACTCTAGTGAACACTCACTCATGTGTGTTGTGTTGACGTGAGTCTTCTATCGCATGAACACAACACAGATGCGTTGTGAACGCACAATGCAAATCAATCATTTCATAAAGTTGTAAATTATGTTTTTTTTGGGCAAAAAAAGCACGTGCGTCACTTAAAATTGAGGTTAAACCACTGAAGTCACATGGATTACTTTAACTTTTTCCCACCATTCTGGGCTTTGAATGTGTAAGTTGCGTTGCTGGCTATGGAGGGGCAGAAAGCTCTCGGATTTCATCAAAAATATCTTCATTTGTGTTTGGAAGAAGAACGAAGGCCTTATCGGTGTGAAACAACATGAGGGTAATAAATGACAGAATTTCCATTTTTGGGTGAACTAACCCTTTAATTTGTCCATGGTTCCATCTGATAAAAAAGTCGGTGAATCACATTGGCCGTCACTCACTCGCATTACTATGGAGTGTGTGCAAGAGCATGAGCAATAAGTTGCTGACCACAGCTAGATAGCTGGCTAGCTAGATAGCCACCGGTGTCGCTAATAACAAGGGTTTCCTTTAACAGCTAAATATCAGCATTTTTAGGAGTCAATCTTTACTGTTGACAGTGAAATAGCTTGAAGCATCCTCATGAGTAGGACTAGGCAGTATCACAATACAGTTTCACAGGACTGCTTAATTTTTGATACCCTGACAAAGAAATGATAAAGGAGTGATAAAGAAACATGAAAAAATAAAGCATAGGCTTGCTTGATGGTATTCAAGTAAATGCAGTCAGTTGTGTCTTAGGTGAACATAAGAAATAAACAAGAAATATGGACCAATATATTGGACATATTGTCTAGTGTTAGGGTTAAAGAATATGTTGTTTATAAGTTGTTCAAGGAGGGGAAAGCACTTCTCTTTCTCTTATGTGTGTATATAACTCCAGTACTAAATGTTTTGGCACTGTCTCTTGAACTTGATTGTAAATATTGTTTGTATTTTTACATTACAAATTACTTGTATTTGAATTAAATGCATTTCTCACACCAGTATTTTGTATTTTTAAGTAAATACGCTTGATGAGCAAGTATTTGTAATAATAAAAAAAAACTTTTTGATGTATTTGTGCCTCTGCTAACCACAACTGCAGACACATCACTACCAATCACTACAAACACACAAGTGCATGAGAAGACATACGGATTGGTGACATTCATATATATTTATTGCATGTGTGTGGTCCCAGTATTCCCTATGTTATGGGGACCACAATGATAGTAATACCAATCAATTTTGACCTTGTGGGGACATTTTTTGTCCCTATTAGGAAAACAGCTTATAAATTTTACAGAATGTTTTTTTAATCTAAAAATCCAGATGCCCCCATAAATCCCAATGTGTGTGTGGCTGTTCTTGGGCTGAAATTCGATTAAAACGATTTGAGAAACTTTACATTCATGGGGGACTAATATGACCTTGTTTTTGTTTTGTTTTGTGTTTTTTTTTTTTTTTTTTCTTTTCAAAAAACGTCATAAAAAATCGTAACCTCACAAACCTCTTGTGCATATCACATGGACATTTCATATAATTTTAAAGGACAGTATTTTGAATCATTTTTTTCTTTTTTTCTTTCTTGCACTGTGATGCACATGTTCTTTCCCGTGCGTCAGAACTGCTGTCCTCGTGCAGTTGTTTACCTGTCAGCCAACGTGAGACTTGCATAGTGCGTCATAGTCCAACAGTAAACCTTATGCAAGCATTTTAACAATAAAACTGGCATATGCGAACTTATCAGTTTATTTTCAACCGTTTTTTTAATATTTTTTTTAGAAAAGACAAAGATTCCAACACCTTCCTACACAGTTGGAAAACAAAATTGGACCTGCGGGCTACAGTAACGCAGTAATTTGTTTAGTAATCTCCTCGTCTCTGTCTATGGTTGTCTTTCTCTTCAAGATTAATTGGCACGAATGCGCTACTTGACTGCACCCGAGGAATAAAAACATCGCATATACTGTAGGCCTATTTAACAAGTCTGAAAGCTTTGACGCTTTCAGCGCACGTGCCTCTGATAACCGGGCTTGAATAGGCCTATGTATATGTATGTATATATATATATATATAGATATAGATAGATATAGATATAGATTTAGATTACAACATAGCCTAGTTGTAGACCACCTAATTGTCACATACATTTTTCCATTAGAAAGACAATTGCAATAAATATTTTTCAGAATTTGCTGTATAGAAAATATGAAAACTACATTCAAAACATTTTTGCTGTCATATCCCGAGAAAATACAAATAATTTAATGGATTACAAAATAAGATCATTTTTTCCTGTAAACTAGAGGTTTTGGTGATGTTTAGACCTGTATTTTATTACTCATATCCAGCAAACCCCTTATGAAACCCCTTAAGAAAACATTTGAAAACACTTAGGCTACAATTTGTTACTAAAGGTTTTCTTAACCTAAAGCGTTTATGTTTATCCATGCACAATTGTTTAATATGTAAAATTATTTCGTTTTCGTGTTCAAAGGAAGAAGAATGGGTGACATTGTAATTACTGTATGTGAAGGAGCAGATACATGAGAAATGTGCTGTTTGGCACCATGCCATCATGTCAGGTTGGCAGAGCATGTGACAGATCTCTGGTTGATCTTACCGGCAGACGGTCACGTTTCTCTTCTCTATCTTCCATCTCACCAATTCTGCTCAAGTGCTCAAGAAACGTGACACTTCAGTTGCAGCTGTATTGCTCCCATATTCCAAACGCATAGTCACGCAGCACAGCATTAAGCTAAAAAAAACAGTGAAATCATTGGCAAATGTTTAATATGTATTCTACTACAATCAGCTGGTCATTATGGCAAAACTCTGACAAGGGCACAGGTGCGAAGTAGGTAGCGATCTTGTATCATTTTATTGTGTGATAATTAACGACCATGAAGATTTGAGGTAACATTATTGTATTATCTTGCTTGAAGATTATGTTTCGGGACAACAACAACAACAAAAAACATCAAGCACTGATAAAAGTTTATTAACTACACAGTAAAATCCCGAGTGTTAAATTAACACTGCTCGGAGCATATATGGTCCCACTCTAAAAGAGTGTTAAAGCAACACTGAAGCAGTGTTAACGTTAATGAGATAATTATGTGATTAATTAAGTGCTGACTGCGCATTATCATGTGTTTGCGGAGCGATGTATGTTAAAAGCACACGTCCAGTTTTGTGTGAGTGAAGGAAATCCGCTTGGGAGTGGAGAGATTCGTCCTCGCGCACATGGATCGCGTAACATTATGCGCTCTCGACATTGTCATTAAGATCACACTATAGAAACCGCCTAAAATTAGAAATTTACTAAAAACAAGCCTATGGCAAGACATCTGGTAGTGGGGGCACCTGGGGTGGCCAGCCAAATTTCAGGGGGGGCCGGTGCCACCCCTGGCCACCACGTAGACACGCCCCTGCGTAAGTCACGACTTCAAACCACGACTCACGACTTTGTAGCGTTCCAGGCAAGTCACGCCAAACTGCCTGAGCGCAAGGAATTGTGGTAGCTAGATGTAAACAAACTTCTAGAATAAACAGATTATTTTGTTATACAAGTATGTAATTTGCACTACCCCCTGTATAGGCTCTGTGCACAGCTGCAGTCTTGACAGAAAGGGACTGCCATTGTTGTTTCGCGGGCTATGTGACGTCAGAGCGCGGAACTGGGAGTACATCGATCTAGTACGAGTTCATGGGTGGGAAGTCGCGGGTTTTACTGCCGTTCCAGTGCACTTTCACGGGTAGAAGGTTGGAAAAACACGGGTTACAGGTAGGGCTGGGGATCGATTCAGATGTTCCAATTCGATTCGATTTCGATTTTCAAGCTCTCAATTCGATTCGATTTCGATTCGATATTCGATTTTCAATTCGATATTCGATTCGATTTTTGATTTCAATTGTCGATTCGATTTGACTATATGAATGTAGATTTAATACAAATCCTATATTTATAAAAATGAACAGTGAACATAAGATTACAAATGGTTAATTAATAGGAAATTAAGAGCCACAAACCTGTATATTAAACACTTTTTATTTTAGGTACACTTGGGTACAATAAAACAAAACCCAACTCTATATTTCAAATGCATACAATGAATAGACAGAATTTTGATGCAAGATGAAAAACTGATGCTGAAAATGGGACAAGTCAGAACAGTCGCATCGCATGCCTTGATCAAACAGTATCAGGTTATTTTATGTTTAAGATAAAACAAACATAAAATCTCACAGCATTAGCTGTAACATGGAGGCTGCAAGCCTATGAACGGTGTAAGTATCTTTGTCATCGTGCTTGCGAAATCTAAAATGCTTCCATACCTGTGACTTTTTATTTGAAGGCAGGGCTCTACACTTACTCTTCTTTTTAGGAGCACTTGTGCTCCTAACTTAAAAATTTTATCGAGCACGTTCAAAATTTTAGGAGCACCGTCTAAACAATTATCCAAAATGTTATCAAAAAGTAGCCTTCCCATTACGAGGTGATATTTGACTCCTCTAACTTTATTAAAAGTATATCATCTTTTGTCAAATTCAAAATATAAATTTGTCAAAATATATATTTTATAAGCTTTTTCAAAATTGTAATTAAAACGACAGAATAAGAACAAGTAGAATAGGAAATATAAGTTACCAATCAAATTAAATCAGTATTAACTAAATTAAGTTGTAGAGGTGGCACAGAAGAACACAAAAGTGGCTTGGTGTACTTTCAGACATTTAATGAGGCTCAGAAGTGGAATGAGTGCAATTAAATCCATAAATTCATGATGATATTAATGTTTTAAATATACAATTTTGAATATAGAAATATTAAATGATTTAAATAACTGAAAAGATACTTTTAAAATGAAACAAACTGCCAGCAGGTGGCGGTAAGTCACTGATTTTT